TGGTGATGAACATGATGTAGTCAATACAGAAACTGAAATATGAGAATGTACACGTGAAATTTACACATTGTTCTAAGCCAAAATGACTTCAATAAAATAATTTTTAAAAAAGGAAAATAAAAATAATCTGCTAAATTTATTTGAAACACAGTGGAACATACAGACAGAAAATATTACTCTAAATGACCCTGAGGAAACCCCAAATTCTTCATTCTTTGAGCCAACAGGCCATAGCTCTGGACACATATATGAGTAGGTTACATAAGTGCATAAAAATGAAAGGTATTGATATCTGGCAACATTTTATCTCAGAGTAGATTATTAAGTCAATCATCTGTATTATATTTCCCCTATCACTCTAAAAATAGCCACCTGTCAAATTTTTTTTTTTAAAGTAGGTAAATGATTAATTTCAGTTTTTATAGAAATGGCAGGCCTTAGTCTTGGTCATTGTGGGTAAAATGTATCTTATTGGTACTGGGGAGAAAAGGAAAAAGTGGGCATAAAAGTTAAAATAAATTATTTGAGAGTATATTCTCCAAAATATTTGTATTATAACTCATTTTAAAATTGCTTTTGAGCTAATAAATGCTCATTATTATTATTATTATTATTATTATTATTATTGATTTTGGTGAGGAAGATTGACTCTGAGCTAACATCTGTGCCAATCTTCCTCTATTTTTTCTATGTGGGTCAGCACCACAGCATGGCTTGATAAGTGGTGTAGGTCCACACTGGCAATTCAAACTGGTGAACCCTGGGCTGCTGAAGTGGGGTGCACGTACTTAACCACCATGCCACTGAGCCAGCCCCTAAATGCCCAATGTAAATATACTTTGAGTTATGGTAGGATAAGATGATGACACATTGTTGAAAGTGCAAAGGTTTTGTGTATTTACTGTGCGAAATTTAGAAAAGTCATTTCTTTCTGACCCTTAGTTTGATCACAAGAAAATGAGCATAGCAATAATAATAATAATGATGATAATAATAATAATAATACATAGTTTATTTTGAAATAGATATAATAAGGACAAAATGGGACAAATTAAACACAAATACTTTGTAAATTCCTTCACTTAGTGATTCCCACTATGTGTCCAGGGCTGTTTAGTCACTCTACATGTATGAGGCTGTGAATTATTTAGTTCAGAAATCCCTGAATAATTCATTAGGAATGAGATAGATTCAAGTGTGCCCAGAAAATTTCTATTGCAATGGGTTCTATTGTGACAACTTAAGCCCATTGATAATGACTTTCCCAATTCACTTGGGATTTACTATATTCTTGGAGAATTAAAAACAAATATTTCCTTTTCCCTGTTATTTTCTTGCTCTGTAGTCTCAAGTGGATTGTGAGCATGGTGCATGGAGCCTTTGTAATTCCTTGGCCCTGTGTCTGGAATAGGCAAGTGACATGGGGAAGGAAATTAGCATTTGCCTTAAAATTTAACATGAAAATTCTAAGCTGAACAATTTAAAGCATTATTTATGTGCTTGGTTATTGAGTCAAATGAGTTACTAATGATTATTTTGATTGGCTGTCACTGAATACACCAATCTAGTCATTTAAAAATTGTGAGGTTTTAAGTGTTTTTCAGCCAGCATAGAGTATGTTGTTCTTTTTCTGTTTAAACTTATGTAAGCCATCAAATTAACTTTAATTTTTAAAAAAATATTTAAGTTTTTGTCGTTAATGTGACCTATATTTTATGATTCTCTGGTGTCCCTTCTGATTCTAGTGGTAGGATTTAAAATTAACAGGCTTCCCATGTAAGTTCTAGGGCACCCTTTTTCCTAAAGAGCATAAATACCTAAATGGTTTTTCTCTGAAAGCCACTGTGTGTCCCCTTGGTCGCATATTCACCACTTCCTTCCCCACCAGGCACCGAGCCTTGCCTCCAGAAGACCAAGGGCTAGGCATTGGCACCTCCCTTTCAGTCCGAAGGCCAGCTCCTTTAGGGCCCTGCTCTGCTGAAATATCCTCATCTGCAGCAGGCTCTGCACAGTGGTTCACTCGCCCTCCTCCAGCCACCTCAGCTGCAATTGTTCCTTTTGGGCCAGGAAGCCACAATACTTCTCAAATCTAAGCTAAAATGCTGCCCCTGCATTTCCACTTTCTCCCTGAGTGACACAGTAAATCAAATCATCAATGATGGGGGCACACTGTCTGGTCTGGCTTCTACCTTCATGTGTGGGACAGTGAAGATGGAGAAGGCAATGTCCTGAGTGATCTCCACTCTGAAAAGATTGGGTGCATTTTAACAACATGCAGAAATAAGGGGCCACTCATATGAGAAGTGGCCTGGTAGAATTTTCGAACTCAGAGTTTGAGAGAGACTGGTGGATTTGGGTTCCCATTTTTCCATGGACTTGGAGGCAAGGCATATCAATTTTAAAAGCAAATTCACTTATTATTTTACCCTCAAAATGAGTTTATTCAGGAATAGCTAAAAGAATTGAAATTCAGAATGTGCATGCTATGGTTAGCCACAGGCAAATCCAGAAAACAAAGGAGAGGCACTTACTTTTATAGAGAAAAATGGGGATCAGGGAGGGCTGTTCTAAACAAAAGTTCATTGGGGGAAAGTAACAGTTCAGTGCAGCAATGGCTTCTCATTGACTGAGCTGCAGCATTTCTCATTGGCTGGGCTGTTGCCTGATGGGGAGAGAAATCTTCCTTCAAGAATAATGTAGTTTTATTTCCTGTCAAAGATGCTGGTAATATCTCTTCCTGTTTAGTTTAATTGACAATGTATGATAGGGCATGAGAGCTCCCCCTGCAGGCCTTCTCAACTCTAATTTCGTTAAGGTTTCTTTTATTAATTGGGACATTTTCCTCTTTTGATCAAGATCTTTCTCCAAAAGCATTGCTGATCAATAGTCAGGTTCTCTGCAGGTAGTGATCTTGTCCCTCAGTGCCAAGAAGGACCTTTCCTGGTTGTCATGTCCAACACTGGAGGGAAAGTGCATAGTATTCTGAAAATATTTAGTTTATGTCTGAGTAACAAGGGAGAGGGAGAACTCTCTGGCATTTACCATCTAAATTCTACATTTCTCCAAGGTGGTAGTCTTTGGAGATCATCTTGAAGTGCTGAGCCAGCATCACGTTATTGGACATGTCATTTTACAGAGGTTCAACAGGCAATAAGTAAAGAATTTTACAATAAGTATACATAGTAAGATTAAGAGCAATACTGTAAAACCAATTTACAAGATGGTTCTAAATCAGGGGCTCAGACTTAAATTTAATCAGCTGAATAAATCAAAAGACAATGGGTTATGTGGTGAAATTTGTTGTAGCAAATGTTCTTGCTCTCTAATATTATGTAATTGTGTTTCTATGTCCCTGAAGGCATTTACCCATGTGCAACAGGAGGTGTTTGCTACCACACGGATGCCGCTTTGCTCAGCAAGTAGATAATCAAGGGATATATGATTATATAAAGCTACCTTTTCCAGTGAGTTAAATGACCATTGCTGAGATAAAATAGATTTGGCTGTGGAGTCACTTAATAACCGCAAGTTAATATTAACTTATGGAGAACTGACATCTTCCAGATGTTGAATTATCCTTCCTGAGAATAAAATAAATTATATTAACTTGCTATGGATTCCATAACCAAGTACCACTAACTGGGTGACTTAGAACAACATAAATTTCCTGTCTCACAATTCTGGAAGCTGCAAGTCTGAGATCAAGGTTCCCATAGGACCGTGCTCCCTGTGAAGGAGCAAGACAAAGTTCCATCCCAGGCCTCTCTCCTAGTTGTGGTAGTTCCTTGGCTTATGGAGCAACACTCCAATCTTCACATGGTGTTCTCTCTGTGTGTGTCTGTGCCCAAATTTCCCCTCTGTGTAGGGACAATAGCCATATTGGATTAGAAGCCCAGCTTACTCCAGTGTGACTTCATCTTACCTAATTGCATCTGCAACAAACCTAATTCCAAATAAGATCACTTCTTAAGCACTGAGGGATAGGATTTTAACACAGCAATTTGGGGGTGATGTAGTTTGATGCATAAAATTTTCTCTCTGGTCCCCCCAACTTCATGCCTTTCTAATAAGAAAACTATGTTAATCTCTTCTCAATACCCCTGAAAATCTTGGTCCATTCTAGGATCAACCCTAAGTTCATAGTGTCATCCAAGTATCCAGCTCTGAGAGAGTTTCCAGGTATAATTCATCCTGGGGAAAAATTCCTCTCTCTCTACGAACCTCTGAAACCAGATAACACGTTATTTACATCTAAAACATAATAATGAGACATTTAGGATAGACAGTCCCATTCTAAAGGTGATAAATCAGAAATAAAACAGGAGTCATGAGACTGAAGTTATTCAGAAACCTCGCCATGTAAATTCTGTTAGGTTTTCAGACAAGAACAATACTCTGACTCAATTTTTTGTCCACCAATATGATGGCTCCACTCCTGGGCAGGTAACTTTCCATTCTTTCATATCTGTGCTTGTATCTTTCAGGATTATTTTCAAATTTTCCTCATATAAGTCTTACACATTTCTTATTGAGTTTAGTTCCTAAATGTCTTGTCATTTTTGTTCCTTTTACAAATGAGATTTTCTCTCCATTATATGTTCTACTGCACTATTTCTTGTGTATGTGAAGATAGTGATTTTAGTATTGATATCGACCCTGATATCAGTTTCCCCACACGAAACCAAGCATATATGGGGTTAAAACCAAAACACTCATTCCCTGCTTACTCTCTGGCTTCCTGGCTCCAGAATCCACTATACTCCGTGGAGACAGACACCGTCAAGGACAAGCACCTGGACTATCTCCTCCCCACAAAGAGATACAGACTGGTGGGAAAGCTTCCGACCAGCAAGGTCATGAGCTCCCTCCTCTCTGCAAGTGTCTCAAGGCCAAAGACAGGCTGGTGGGAAAGCTCCGACCAGCAAGGCCATATGCTCCCCCTCCCCTACCTAAAGCCCCAAATAAAAACCCTTCCTTTTAGCTTTTTGGAGAGTTTGGGATTTGAGCATTAGCTGCCCTCTCTCCTTGCTCAGTGCTGTGCAAAAATAAAGTTCCTACTTTCTTCCACCACACCCTGTGTCAGAGATTGGCTTGCTGCGCAACGGGTGAGCGAACTCCCTTCAGTTTCGGTAACAATTTGGCGACCCTGATGGGACAATGTCCCAGGTGGACATCTCGCCTGTGGCACACTGGCCACTGGCTAAAGGCCTCTCTTGGAAGCTGTCCTGCAGCTGCCTGAGCCCCTTGTCTCAGGGACAGCCCCAAGTGACTGGCTGCTAACCAGACGTCGTTGGCCCATGGCGCTTTTGCTTTGGTGGTGGAAGAAACTAGGTTTAGGACATAGGAAGATGTCTATTGTAAGTAGCTGGTAGTTTTTGTTTTTGTCTTTGTGTTAAACTTTTCCAACAGGACCGGCCGGAAATAATGGGTACCTTGGCAGCCCTCTGGGCTCTATTTGTTTTGAAGTCGCCGTGACGCCCCGGCCAAATTTTGGTAAGTCCCCGGGTGTGCACAACCGAGGTCCCTTGTCCTTGCTCATTTGGGAAGATCTGTGTAGCGGATCCTCATTTGTTGGGCGCCCCCGAGTGTAGGACACGGACTAAGCTGGGACTGGAAGCACTTTGGTTTTTGGTTTTGGTCTTTGTTTTGGCTTCCGTTTGTGGCCAAGGGTTTTTGGGACTGCGCGCTTGTTTGGTATTTGTTGTTGTTGTCTGTTTGTCCGTCCTTTTAAAAGTGTTAACATGGGAGATGCTGCATTTATTACACCTGAGAGCCCCTTAGGAAAAACTTTGGCTGATGGTCGACCTATAGCTATAAGCCAATGTCTAAAGAGGGATGATTTTCTTTTGTAACACCATGTGGCCACAATATTCTTTAGACTCCGGAGAGGAAAAAATGGCCAAAAGATGGATCCTCAAGTTGGGAAACTTTTTAGAGAGCTCTTATGATCAACAACTGTTTTATTGGTACCTATGAAAAGACCAAATTAAGAGGAAACCTTAATGACTAGTCTTAAGAACTTAATCAAACTTGGGGTCTCAGCTTCTCGTAGTCTTACAGATGTGAATGGAAATGTTAAGCTAACAAAGAAAAATCAGAAAGGGAAGAGTCACAGGACTCATCCCAATGGGATAAATGGAACAGATATGGATGAAGTTAAAACAAAGGTTATAATAAAACACTGCCTAAGGTTGGATGGGCTAAAGGGACCCCCCCTTTTGGCTCCCCAACGTTAAAGAACATCAGACAAACCTGTTCTATTTACCCCAGTTTGAAAAATGTAAAAGTTCAGGAGGCAAAAATCAGAGTGAGAAACCTGTCCAACAATTGTTTGGGACAACAGTTAGGCTACTAAGATTAATAAGACTTTAAAAATTAAAATGTTTAAGCTAATATTATATGAAGAGGTTATGTCAACTTTGCCTGGATGTTTTCTTTGGGAATAAATGTTATGTCTAACTGGGAATGCTTCCACTGAACAATATTGTAATACCAAAACTTGTTAATAGAATTCTAATGTAAGTTATAATTAAAAGTATAAGGGTTAGTAAAACTAAGGCAAAGTTTTGTAAAAAATTGATATACTTAAACAGGCCAATTACAGTTCACCCAAACTAATGTATACAATTGGAAAAGCCTGCTGCAACAATGGGGAGCCTGTTTTAGTCTTTTGAGGCTTCTAAATAAAATTAGAAATACTTTACTGCCTCTTTGAGAGAAAATAATTAAATAATTAAACATGCCAGCAGCCGAACCCAAATCTGCTGCTGTTGTCTACTCTCTTGCTGAGCTTCCCAACAAGCTGAGCTGAGCTTCAACTCCCCCAAAAATTCCTGATCTAAAATTGAATGAGTAAAAATAAGTAAACTTTTGAGATAATTTGGAATTGTAACGACCATTCTGAAAGCCTGTTTAAGTTTGCTGGTTTCATTTAAAAGGAACATGTCCTCAAAGTTATCAGCATTGACTATGATGCAGACATACAGCCTAGGTTTACTGGTCAAATGAACTCATGTCATCTATGTTAGAAAATTTATTAGGAAAACTCATAACTCAGTATAATAGCTAATTTTGTTTAATGTCTCATGGAGTTTTTGTAGATGATCTAAATATAATTGTTAAAACAGGTAAACTAAATAAATAAAAAAATATATTTTTGGAAAAATTTTTTAACAATAATTATATGTATAATTATATGTATAATAATTATATTATGATATATGGACTTAAAACAACTGAGGACAATAGTTAACTGCTGTAATGTCACATGAAGTTTTTAAGAGTAATTGTTAAAACTGGGTAAAAGTTTTAAGTACAATAATTATGTTTTATAGTCTGAATACTTAAAAAACAGCTACCAAAATCTTCTTGGAAACTTAAATTTTACAGTTTTACTAAGTTAAATTAAATAATAACAGTTTATTGGGTATCTAGGTCATTTCCACATAAGATAAAATATTAAAGGTTAACTACTAAACATTTATTTGTCTGCCTTTGGTTTCTTATATCAAAGAGACTAAAAAGTGCTTAGGTTATTGATCAACATGTTATATGTATGTTGAGAAATTTTCTATGAGCAAACATATATTTCTAAAAGGTCTGTATACAAAGAAAGCAAAATATATGTTTTCAGTAAAAAGATATAAAGAATGGAAATATTTTTGTTTCTTTCGTTGAGAAAGATAAATTTGTCCTAAAATGCTGGGACAAATTCTGAATGTAAAAAAGTAACAAAAGGTTTGTAAAAGTAAAGCCCTAAAGAGTTTTATGTATGGTCAAGTTGTCCAGGATTAAAGTAAATCCAATTAAGTAAATAAACTTATATGTCAAAAGTAAACTGGTATAAAATTAAAACTTGGTTTCCTCTTTCTTAAAAGGATAATTTTCCTAAATTTTTAATCTGCTCTTTATAAAAAGGTTATAAAAAGGCTTTTTTTGATGATTTTAACTCTGTTTCCCCTTGACTGTTTCTGTTATCACTTCAAATAGATACCTGAACATGGTTTTACAAGTGACTTTGTTTCCTGTCTGAACAAATGTTTTAAAGCTTTTAATATTTTTGACAAGCTTCCCACACACACAGATATTCAAGTCCTGAATACAAGCTTTCTTTTGACCTGGAAGAGGAGGAAAGGTTTCTCTGGGGATTTTCAGAGGGCCCCTGGGACTTCTCAGAGAAATTTGCTCTCTTCCTATAAGAAAAGATAGCTAAACTAATAAGGCTTATTTTGTATGTTAAATTACATGAGAAGCATTGTCAAATAAGTAGTGATAAACTTTCTTAAATGATATTATATAAATGTTACTGATATAAATATTTTAAAAATTATCTGATCTGTTCTGATTGTCAGCTATAATCCTGGTTATTATCTCAAAATGTTGTATATCACAGAGATGGTCAAATGCCTTTGTCAGTTACCATTTTTGAATGTTTTGCTATTTATGAACAGTGACTATTTTACTTTGATGTTTTTGCAAATATGTTTCATCTTCAGAGAAATTCATGGAAAGGACTCTGACACTCTAGAATACAGGTTTCTAATAAACATTCAGATTATAAAACCAAACTGGGTAAAAATTATAGAACTCCAACAGAGAAACTGATGACCTCACAAACTGCTGACAGAAGATTAAGATCAAGAACCAATTACAGAGGACAGAATAAACTGATAGGGATGATTATAATTTTTATGACTTTTTGATTGAGATATTGCTGATTTTTTGATGTTTTGCTTTTTTTCAGAGTTAAGAAAACCTTTTTCTCTATTCTCTTAAAGAACTATGACTTACAGCAATTTATAAAAAAAAAATTGAAGCATTTGTCTTTTCCTCCCTATCTGAGCCCCCCAAAATGCAGAAACTTCTGATAAGTAAGTATTCTTGTTCTTATGGCAATATAGTTGTTTGCATAAGTACAATAAGAATCTGTTCTTCTTTTAACAGGACACAATTGGAAACACTGGTTATATTACCAAGACTTTGACTGGAATATCATATTTTAAAAAAACATACAGGCTTGGATATAACACGACAGCTTTTGAGGAATGAAGGTTGACATTCTGGAATAAAGCCACTTGGAAATATTGGCCTGGTACTATGCTTATGGGTTCTGTAACCTGGTAAGGTTGAGCAAAGAATGTCGCTCCCTCTGGCAGGAATACAAGGAACCTCAGTATTTTGGGGAACCTCACAAAGACAGGGATTTGCCCAAATCTGCAGGTACTGCAGACAGAATCTGATAACAGGTCCTTTGCTTGGCTTTCCTTGAGAGGCCTTTAAAGATCACCCTGAGATTCCTTATAAGGTTCCAGCAAAGCAGATTTAAAAGAGCCTATGTGATCAATTACTATTCTTGCTGTACTCATGTAAATAATTATGCCAAGTTTATTAAAACTAGACATTTTGCAAACCAGTTAGTCTTAATTTGGCTATGTCTTGTGAAATTGAGGGTAATTTTAGGGAGGAAGATTATGTTTCAATAGAAACTAATACATGATTATAAATATTGGATTTTAGTTTTCTCAATTCTCTTTGAAATTTTTGAAATTTCTGTTAACTGGACTGGATCTTGAATTCTTCGTCTCCTGAAATATCTGGCTAAAAACTTCCAAACTAACATTTTTAGGCTTTTTCCCCATTATTTTCACTTAGAGTCATTGAAAATGGAATCTGCCCTTTTTCCTAAAGCCTTATAAACTGAAGCTGGAAGACCCAATATAAACTTAAGCGAGATTCATGTCTACTGCTGTGTACGCCACTCAAAAATCTACCTGAGTTCCAGATGACACCATCAGAGACATTTCAAACTACAAAAGATGCTTTGACCCTGACTTCTAGGAATCTTGATTGGCTTCCCCCTGGGCTCAGAAACTGGTTTATAATTTGCTCCAATCATTAACATTGTTTTTCTATTTTTGTTTCTCTAGAAAAACTTCTTATTAAATACCTGGTTACTTAGTTACATGATACAGGCCTAACTTCAGAAGCCCACCAGCATCACTGCCTTATTAAAAGACTGGTTCAATGAGATGAAATGACCTACGCCCCATTTCAGCAGTAAGTAGCTAGATCAGTCGCTGCCCTAAATCCCTCAAGATTGAGGGACAGACATAAAATAGGGGGGAATTGATGTCGACCCTGATATCAGTTTTCCCCACACGAAACCAAGCATATATGGGGTTAAAACCAAAACACTCATTCCCTGCTTACTCTCTGGCTTCCTGGCTCCAGAATCCACTATACTCCATGGAGACAGACACCGTCAAGGACAAGCACCTGGACTATCTCCTCCCCACAAAGAGATACAGACTGGTGGGAAAGCTTCCGACCAGCAAGGTCATGAGCTCCCTCCTCTCTGCAAGTGTCTCAAGGCCAAAGACAGGCTGGTGGGAAAGCTCCGACCAGCAAGGCCATATGCTCCCCCTCCCCTACCTAAAGTCTCAAATAAAAACCCTTCCTTTTAGCTTTTTGGAGAGTTTGGGATTTGAGCATTAGCTGCCCTCTCTCCTTGCTCAGTGCTGTGCAAAAATAAAGTTCCTACTTTCTTCCACCACACCCTGTGTCAGAGATTGGCTTGCTGCGCAACGGGTGAGTGAACTCACTTCAGGTTCGGTAACAGTATCTTTATTTTATATCCTGTTACCTTATTATATTTTTTGTTGTTATACATTTTAAAAGACAAAACATGGTAAATCAATACCCTGTATCCTTCTAGAAAGTGAAACATAAAATGATGAAAAACACTAAAAATTGGAACAGAGGGTTGTTCTTTATTGTCAAAGTTAAATACAGATTTTACAGTATAGTACATTTCATTAATACATGGAGACTGGAACTAAAATATGTAATGAAAAATATTCAAATGAAATAATTGGAATCAGTAAGCAGATTTTAAAAAATACAGAGCCATGAAAGGTACATAAAGATCAATAAGCGATTCTGTCACTATTTAAGGCTTAAGTATTTACAAATGGGAAA